CTTCCTTCTTCACCAGGGCTCTCCCTGTCCAGAACTACTATATGCTTCCATGTGAGGCTGTGACTTCCTTGGTTCCCTCCACAATTAGTTCCTAGAGATGGAGTCAGTCCCAGCACACCAGCTGGGTATCATAAGCCCTGGGTCCTAGCCCTAGGTTCCTGACCGGTGTAGGATCCCAGGCAAAGCCTTCTGATCAGACTTCAGGCTTCTGTTGGAAACCTAGGAAGCTGTACTTGGGTTCTGGGCCCAAACCACTACCTGGCAGGGACATGACAAAAAGGGGTTCCCCTGCAGGAACCTGCTACCCCTTTCTAGGGTGAGGGCAGCTAAGGTGGGTTCCAGTGCTCATAGTCTAGGCTGGGATAAGGCTGGGAGGAAGCCCCTAGGAGGTTTGGGACATCTCTATACCTGACAGAATCTCCGCAGGGCCCGCTGGTTGGTCAGTTTATACTTCCAGGTAAGATACCAGCTCCTCTTCTTCCGAGCCCCAAAGGGCTTGATGAGGGGGCCGGGCTTCCAGTCGTCCATGCCAGACAAGAGGGTCACCAGTCACCACTGTCCTGGACACCCCATGCCTTCAGGAAACTGAGGGGACCGGAGGGTCACATGGAGTAAGGTGTTCCTCCTAAAGTCTGATGCCTTCTGGAGAGATGAGGGAGGACCTCCCAGTAACTCTTCCCTGCAGGAATCCATACTGTGTGACCTGGGAAAAGTGGCTCAACTTTTCTGGGAAGAAAACCTTCAGAGGAGTCAGAGCACCTGGAAACTCCCCCGGGGCTGGGAAAACTGACAGGGTTGCCCAGGGACCCAGAGGAAAAGGACAAATACTCGGCTTTCAAGGCTCATCAGCCCCCAAAAGGACCAAGCCCCAGGCCTCCCCGGTCCTGGGGTGGGCAAGGGCAGCGGCTTCCCCCCTTCCCCCATTCTCCACACCCTTCCACCCTTGCGCCCTCCTATCTGGCCCTGCTCTTCCCCTCCGAGGAGTCAGGGCCGCCCGAAGCCTTGGAGACCTGCCCCGGCCGCGCCAAACCTACCCGCCCGGGGGAACTCACGGCTCAGGGACCCTGGGCCCCGCTCGGGCCCCGCTCGGGCCCGCACCGCTCCGCCCGGCCCGCCGCGGCCTCCGCCTCCTCCATGCCGCTCGTGGCCCCGCCCCGGCCCGCCCGGCCCGCCTCCCCGCTTCCGCCGCCGCCGCCGCCGCCGGGAGGTGAGAGGGCGGCGGGCGGTGCTGAGGGCGGCGCTTGGGGTGCAGCCCGCGAGACCGCGAGTCCTTATCTCCTGACCGGCTGGCGGGGTGGGTGCTGGGGAGGAGCTGCTTCTCCACCTCCAGCACCGCCAGGTGGCAAACGTGACTCCAGTCGGAGTGCTGGAGCCTTGAACGAGACCGCACGGCACCCGGGGTCTGAGAGGATACCGGCCTTGGACACGGCTGCCGGTTCCCCTTGCTTGGACAAGGCTGCGCCCAGGTCTAGGCCAGGCGCGGCCCTTGAATGCTAAAGCCTGCCTCTAGCCCTAGGCGGTTTGGCTCAGCCGTTAGAGCGTCGCCCTGCGGACCGAAGGGTCACGGGTTCGATTCCCAGTCAAGGGCACGTCCCTGGGTTGCAGGTTGTTCCATCCCTGGCCCTGGTCAGGAGAAGCAGCCAGTGGATCTCTCTCTCTCTCTCTCTCTCTCTCTCATTCTCCCCCCTTCCTCCGCCCTCCTCCCTCCCTTCCATTCTATCCAAAAATCAATGGGGAAAATATCCTAAGGTGTGAAGGTTAACAACAACCAAAACCTGGTTCTACTACTCACCTAGACCTTGGGCAAGTCACTTCACATCTCAGCCTAGGTTCCCTTTTTTGTGAAATGGAAATACCCTTCTTTATATGATGCTTACTCTACCACAGTTCTAAGAACTTTATACTAACTCATTTACTTCCACCACAACAGGTAGTATTACTATCCCAATCCTGTAGAGAAAGAAAATGAGGCCCAATGTCACAAAGCTATAGGAGAGCTAGAATTCAAACCCCAACTGCCTGGCTCCAGATCTCACTCTTTTTTTTTTTTTTATCCTCATCCAAGGATATTTTTTCTATTTATCATCAGATAGAGTGGGAGGGAGGGAGAGAACGAGAAACATGGTCGTGAGAGGGACACATGGACTGGTTGCCTCCCGCATGACCCTGACCAGGTCCAGGGACAAACCGCAAGGGAGGTACATACCCTCTACAAGAATAGAACCTGACGTTCTAATGGCTGAGCCAAAGCGGCCAGGGCCAGATTTCACTCTTAATCCCTGCACTATAGTGATAATAATAATACTTGTAGAGTTGTTGTGAAGATTAAATGAAATAATACATATACACAGCACTTCCCTTACCACAGTGAAGTAACAAATCGATGTTTCTCTCTCCCTCCCTCTCTCCCTCTCCCTTCCCCGTTCTCCCTCTCAGATCATAAATAACAACAACCAAAATAATTATTTGGCCTGGCTGGTGTGGCTCAGTGGTTGAGTATCAACCCATGCACCAAGAGGTCACCGGTTCGATTCGGTCAGGGCACATGCCCAGGTTGTGGGCCCAATCCCCAGTGGGGGGCATGCAGGAGGCGGCCGATCGATGTTCTCTCTCATCAATTTTTCTATCTCTCTCTCTCTCCCTTCCTCTCTCTATAAAATCAACAAAGAAAAAAAAGATATATCTGGAGGACCTGTTAAAACACAAATGACTGGGTCCCATTCTTAGAGTTTTTGATTCAGCAGGCTGGGGCAGAGCAGAATAGTGCATTTCTAACAAGTTTCCAGGTGATGGTGATACTTATTTGAAATGAGTGGGTAGCCATGGAACAATTTTAGGCAGGGAAGCAATATAATCCAATTTAAGAGAATGTTCACTTTTTGTAGATTAAAAAGAGACGCTAGAAGACCAGTTACATGTTTTTTAACTCTCCACATTCTATCTGCTTCCTAAATGGTGGGATGATATCCCCCAAAATGTTAACAGTTATCCATGAATCAAGAGATACTAAGGAAAAATATATTGCTTAAACTTACAAAGGTAACCATTAGATGAACTAAAAATAATGATAAAAATATATAGGGCTAATGGATGAAGGGAAGTACAGGGTGTGAAGTAAATCAATATTTATCATAATAGGAAGTCAGTAGACAATGTTTAAAATGAAGAAATAGTGGTATAAGCCTATTGTGGGTTTATGAGTATAAATACCAGACGAAAAAAAATAAAAATAAAACAAAACCTAAAAGCAATGCCTCTGGGGAGTGGGACTAGAGGTGGGAAAGGATGGGGCAGGGGTAACTATCTTTTATCCTTCTGTAACAAAGGGCTGGAATTATTTGGATTAAAAACCAAAGTCAAGCAAGCCCTGGCTGGTTTGGCTCAGTGGTTAGAGTTTTGGCCCGCAGACCAGAGAGGCCCAGGTTTGGTTCCCGCTAAGGGCACGTAACTTGGTTGCAGTTTGTCCCTGGCCCTGTTTGGGGTCGTGTTGTGGCTGGCAACCACTCGATGTGTCTCTCTCACATGATGTTTCTCTCTCTCTCTTCCTCCCTCTCTCCCTCTTGCTCTGTTTCAATAAATGCAAGAATGTCCTCAGGTGAGTATAAAAAAAAAAAAAAAACAAACAAAGTCAAGCCAAAGCATAATTTTTTAAAATATTTTTTCTTTATTGATTTTAGAGAGAGAGGGAGAGAGAGATAGAAACATCAGTGAGAGAGAACATCAATTTGCTGCCTCCTGCATGCCCCCCACTGGGGATCAGGCCCACAACCTGGGCATGTGCCCTGACCAGGAATTGAACCGCTGACCTCTTGGTGCATAGGTCGAAGCTCAACCATTGAGCCAGATCGGCCAGGCCCAAAGCATAAATTTTTCACGGCTCCTCATCACCTGTAGATAAAATCCAAGTACCTTAGAATTGTCTTCTATAACCTTCTTATTCAAAGTGTGATCCCTGGAGAATCTCAGGCCCCAACCCAAATTTACAGAATCCTAATCTGCATTTTGACAAGATTTGAAAATAATTTATATGCATGGTCAAGCATAAGAAATATCAGTTTACAAGATCAAGCATGGCCCTGGCCGGTTTGGCTCAGTGGTTAGAGCGTCGGCCTGCGGTCCAGAGAGACAGGGTTCGGTTCCTGATAAGGGCACGTACCTCGGTTGCAGTTTGTCCCCGGCCTTGGTTGGGTTGTGTGGGTGGCAGCCACTCGATGTGTCCTTTTCACGTCGATGTTTCTCTCTCTCTCTCTCCCTCCCACTCTATCTGAACAAAAAATGGAAAAATGTCCTCAGTGTCCTCGGGTGAGGATAAAAAAAAAAAGCTCAAGCATGATTTGGCCCATGTGGACTTTTTCAATTTCAATATTGTTTGCTCCTCATTGGCCAAACTTTACTTTCCACTCTCCTAGTCTAAATGCAGTGGCTAGGTGTGTTTGTGTGTCTGTCAGTGGCTAGCTAAATTCTAATCACTGTTTTATTATTATTATTACTATTATTATTATTTTTGAGAGAGAGAGGAAGAGAGAGATAGAAAAATCAATGAGAGAGAACATCAATTGGCTGCTTTCTGCATGCCCCCCGCTGGAGATTTGTCCCACAACCTGGGCATGTGCCCTGACCGGAATTGTACCTGTGACTTCTTGGTGCATGGGTAGATGCTCAACCACTGAACCACACCAGCCTGGCCTAACCACTGTTTTAGACCCAGCTCACCCTCTGCAGCTCTGTTACCACTGTTCCTTAAACTCCTACATCCACGTCTAAGCATGCTTAGCCTTCATTCAGCAAACATTTATTGGGCGCCTGCTGTGTGCCTGGCTGGATTCCTGACAGGGTAGGGAGAAGGCACTGAACTCTCCGAATGCTCCCTGAGGTACCAATCGAGAATCAGCCTATTGCATTCCAGCCCTAAGCATTCCAGGACCAGAGGCTGTGCGCGGCTTTTCTGAGGGTTACGGCGCGCTCCTTCCACCCCCGCGCGGTGCGGGCGGGGAACCACCGGTTCCGCTCCGCAGCAGCGGAGACAGGACCCCCGGGAGCGGGACCCTGGAGTCTGATCGCCCAGCTCTGTTTAGGCTTAGGCCCGCATGGAGGGGGCTACAGAGTCCCAGACGCCTGATCTGCGAGACGTGGAGAGCAAAGTGGGCAGGAAGACCCCTGAAGGGCTGCTCCGAGGGCTTCGAGGCGAGCAGGAGCCGGGAACCTCTGGCGCCCTGCTGCTCCCCGGGGCGCCTAGCACGGGCCACGGCCTGGGGGACAAGATCATGGCGCTGAAGATGGAGCTGGTGAGTGTGGGCTCCACGGGCTGGGGTGGCGGGTACGCGACCGAGTACCCGGGCGTAGGGCGTGAAGGAACGACTCAGAGTTGGGACTGGAGGCGAGGGAGTTAAAACTCCCCACTTAACTCCTCAAGATCTTTCCCAGGTCAATCCTTACACCTTGGGGTTCATTAATTGCCTTCTCAGGGGTAAGTGGAGTGTAGATGAGTCCTGAGGACATGGGGTGGGAGCCACAGGCTTTTGGAATTTTTTCCTGCTAAATAATTGGGAGGGGAGAGGTGAGGACTGGGAAGCACTGAGAACCTAGTGCAGCAGAAACACCCACAGGACCATCTATTCCCCAGCCGCCATTGTAGGGCAACCAGTTTTTTCTCCTCCTGCAAGCTGGGCCTGGGTTTGTTCTTCTGAGGCCCCGGTATTCATGACAGGATTCAGCACAGAAGAGATTTGGGCGAAAACTGCCTGGACCAGGGCCACTAAAAACATCCGTCTTTTTCCTAAAATTCTTCCAACCCCCTTAAAATATTTGAAATTTCCTAGACCCTTAGCAGACATGAGTAGCAGCATTATCAGTGTTGTTTTCATCACCTCTGACTCAGTCTCCTCCTCACCAACCCCAAGCTGCACTGGATATTTGGATCTCATCTGTACCTCCTAGGGGCAAAGAGGAGGAAACAGGTACCCCACCCCTTTCCCTGTTGTTGCTGATATAAATTCAGAGCCAAAAGGGCAGTTGGGGCCCACCAGGCTCCCAAGGGCCCTGATTCCGGTGAAGGGGGTGATTTACACCTGCCATCACTTTACAGCCAGTTCTGAGGAACTGAGGAATTGCATTGCCAGCTGCTCTCTGGCTCAGAACCAGGAGGCCACAGTCAGAGTGTGAGTTAATAAGTCTTCCTGGAGCCCCACTCTGTGTCCAACTCTGTGCAAGGCTGAGCTGTGAGGGAGAGAGGAAGGAGGTCTAGGGGGCTTCCAGACAGCTTGAGAAGCTGGGAGGAGAGCCCTGTGGGCAGAGTAATCAAGGAAGGCTCCCTGAGGGAAGGATTTGAATACCATGTATGCACTTGGCCTCAAAGGTTTGAGGTGAGCCAAATTCTCCAAAGTAGTGCCCACTTAAGGGAGAGGCCTGGCTTTGCCTCATGGTACAAACTTTAGCTCAAGGCCTAGAGAGAGCCTATTTATTTATTTATTTATTATCCTCACCGGAGGACATTTTTGCATTTATCTTCAAATAGAGCGGGAGGGAGAGAGGGGAGGAAGAGAGAGAGAAACATTGACCTGAGAGAGACACATCAACTGGTTGCCACCCACACGATCCCAGCCGGGGCTGGGGATAAACTGCAACCGAGGTACATGCCCTTAGAGGGAACTGAACCCGAGACTTTCTGGTCTACAGGCCGACGCTCTAACTGCTGAGCAAAACTGGCCAAGGCGAGAGAGCTTATTTAGAGTGCCCTGCTTTGGTAATTTTCACCAAGTGCTTGTGCCAGGCATAATAAGCATTTTTTTGTTGTTGTTAATCCTCACCCAAGGATATTTTTCCATTGATTTCTAGATAGAGTAGAAGGGAAGGAGGAAGGGGGAGAAGGAGAGCAAGAGAGACATCTATGTGAGAGAGACACATCTATTGGTTGCCTCCTGCACGTGCCCCAACTGGGGCTGGATATCAAACCTGCAACCCAGGTACGTGCCCTTGACAGGAATTGAATCCGTGACCCTTCAGTGCACGGGTCAACGTTCTAACCACTGAGCAACTGGCCAGGGCATGCTGAGCACACTACAATATAGCCTCTTAATTCTCATGGCAACCCTGTTAAGTAAGTGATTTTTTATTTTTCTTTACTGATTTTAGAAAGAGAGAGGAAAGGAGAGGGAGAGATAGACACATCGATGACAGAGAACATCGGATTGGCCGCCTCCTGCATGCCCCCCACTGGGGAACAGGCCCACAACCTGGCATGTGCCCTGACCGGGAATCAAACCAGCGACCTCTTGGTGCATGGGTCCACGCGCTCAACCACACTGAGCCACACTGGCTGGGAGTAAGCGATATTTTATAGATGAAGAAACTGAGGCACAAAGAAGTTAAGTAATGCCTCAGGTCATATGAAAAGCATAAAAGCAGAGCCAGGCTTTGAACCCAGATGACCTGTCTGCACTTTACATCTATCATTGAGACTGACTTTGTGCCAGACACTTTATTTATTTTTTATTTTATTTTATTTATTTTTTGTTAATCCTCACCTGAGGATTTTTTTTTTTTTTCCCATTGATTTTTAGAGTGGAAGGGAGGTGGAGAGAGAGAGAGGAAAAGAAACAGATGTACACATTGATTGGTTGCCTCCCATATGTACCCAACCAGGTCAGGGATTGAACCTGTGACCCTTTGGTGTTTGAGCCAATGCTCTAACCACTGAGAAACATCGGCCAGGGCTTGGTGCCAAACACTTTAAACACATTTTATGTCATTCAAGTGAGAAAAGCAGTAATCATTTTCCCTATCTCACGGACCAAATATGCTTGTAGGTACTGAGGGACTTGCCTGAGCTCATACCAGGAGGAACCACACCTAGTTTCTCTGGCTCTAACTCTTTTCTGTCTTGGTAGAGATGACCTGTTTATAAACTTTAAGGGGGTACATTAACTTCTGATTAGATTTCTCTTGACCCAGCCTGGCCTGGGTCCCTAGGCTGCCCATGAAGGGCAGGAGAGAGGGAGCCTTCTGGGAGCCCAGAACAGGGGGAGGCTCCCTATGTGCCCCAGGGATCCCTACCCCATTTCCTTTTTCCTCCTCAGGCCAGGGTGTCATTAATCTCTTTAAGTATATGTACTCTGCCCACTGGAAGGGCAGGGGGTTACCCTGGAGCCACTTGTGACAGAACTGGTTCAGTTGACTTTCTCTCAGGTCTGCTTCAGGGAGGGGGAGAGCCAAGGTCATCCCTGCCTGTAGGCCTCTTCCCTCCTGCCTCTTCAGACTTCTGGGATAGGTGGGAAGAGGAAACAATGGCAATCTCCTCTACTGAATACTCTCATCTAAATAACTATTGTTATGATGACCACCCCTCCAGAACAGTATGAAAAAAAAAGCTTTAGACAAGGAGCAGGGAGACATAGGTTCAAGTCCTAGCTCTGCTCCTGAATCATCTTATGATCTTGAGCAGGGCCTCTCTCTTGGCCTCAGCTTTTCTACCTCTTCCCAGAGGGTGAGGGGTAAGGGATTGTGGGATCAGATGATTTCTAAGAGCCTTCCTAGTAATAATAGCCTGAGAATTTCAATCCATGTCCAGGGATTTAGGACTGGGATCTCTGGGTTTTTACACCAAGGCCTGATATGAATCAAGTGATGAGGGAGCCATACTGTGGCCTCAGGGCTGGGCAGAGATGATGTGTACGTCTGTGTTAAGGGGGGGAGTGGGGAACCTGCATCCCACTGGGAAGAGAATTGGGTTGGAGAGGCCTCTGAGGCTACATCTCTCCTTTTCTGTTTCCAAAGAAATGGTGTGAAATGAGTATTTCTTTTTCTGGCAAGAAAGCCTTTCTTTCTTCTAGTCTGTGGAGTGACTCTGTCACAGCCAGGGAATCCCACTGTCACAGGACTATAGAATCTGGTCCTCAGATTCATTTTCCACCAGCATGGTAGAACACAACCCCCTGAACCCTGGGCCCAGCAGAGGGGGCTGAGGATAGTAAATGCAAGGAAATCACAGAACTGGATCTGACTTACCCAGTCCTGGGTTGAGCCCATAAATGAGCTGGGCAGGACCTGCTCTCAGGGAGCTCACAGTGAGTTAGGGAAGGAGAGAGATAAATTAATAACTCTAGTACAGGATAGTAAGTGCTATTGGAACCCAGGGAGGGCTTTCTGGAAGAGTCGTTATTGTAGAGTGACATGGTCAGATGTGTGCTCTGGAAAGGCTACTTTGAATTGGAGGATACACATGCTGTTTTCTCTGGTTGGAATGCCTTTCTCCCCTGCTTTGTCTTGCTAAGTTCTACTTAATTTTCAAGTCTCAGCTTATTCTAGGAAGCATTTCCTTATTCCCCTGGTTGGGTTATGGCCCTCTAGGTACCCACAGCCCATAGCATTTGTGTACTGAATTTTAAGTGTTTGCATCATTGTCTTATCTTACCCACTAGACTGTGAACTCTTTGGGGACAAGAAATGGTGTCTTTTTTACCTTTCTCTAACATAATGTCATGCCTATAAGAAATACTCAATATTGTTCCACTCAATAAAATAAATATTGACTGAATGGATTAATTCTGTCTTGAGGAAGGACAGGGAAGTCTTCCTTGAGGAGGTGGCATTTGAATTGGGCCTTGAAGAATGAATAAGCCCTGGCCGGTTTGGCTCAGCGGTTAGAGAGTTGACCTGCGGTCCTGAGAGACCCGGGTTCGGTTCCCGCTAAAGGCACGTACCTCGGGTGCAGTTTGTCCCCGGCCCTGGTCGGTTGTGTAGGTGGCACCCACTCGATGTGTTCCTTTCACATCGATGTTTCTCTCTCTCTCTCTGTTCCTCTCTCTCCCTCCCACTCTACCTGAACAAAAAATGGAAAAAAAAATGTCCTTGGGTGAGGATAAAAAAAAAAAAGAATGAATAAAGTCAGGAATTCCAGTGAAAGATGGCAGATTGAACAGATGCATTTACCTCTATTCCTTCCTGAAACTCCACTAAAAAGCCAATAGAAGAATTATTGAAAAAGCCATGAAACCATTATGTCAACAAGAACAGGAGAGAAGATGATAGGAACAAAGTTTTGGAAGCTGAAAAGCAACCCACTTTGCACTACTGACACCTTCAAAGGTCTCAGGAGTTAGAAGCGCCAGGTATTTCTGGAACTAGGTGTGCAAGTGGAGCTGAAAACAAAAGGGTTGGTGAATGTCTGTTTAAGAATTATACCCTAAGATCCCCTTCCTAACTGGGCGCCCAGGTGCCAGTCACTTCTTTATTTGAGAAGAAGACTGGAGATGTAAGTTTTGGAAATAATAGAACAAAAAGAAGGAAG